ATAATTGTGACCCATACAATGTATTGTTGGCTATTGCTACAGATATACCCCAGCGACTTAACACTGCTTTTGTGCTCCAGGCTCACATAAAGTCACAAATCTCAGCTGTCCAGCAGTATGCACTATGTTTTCTTCATCTCTTTTTGTTCATTTGTGTGAAGCTGAAGTCTCGTGAGGGATGTGTGAGCAGAGCCGGTTCATCATGAAGAACGGTGGCTCAGATGAAGTCACAAATCTCAGCTGTCCAGCAGTATGCACTATGTTTTCTTCATCTCTTTTTGTTCATTGTTGTGAAGCTGAAGTCTCGTGAGGGATGTGTGAGCAGAGCCGGTTCATCATGAAGAACGGTGGCTCAGATGAGCGAGTGGAGATTAAATCCAGACCAAAACCTGCTCACCCTGTCACTTCCAGATCAGGAGGACTGAGATTGAGTTTTCGGTGGCAAAAGACACTTCCAAAAGACTGTAACTATTTTTGTACAGTGGTGAGGTGGTGTTAAGAGCCTTCCAGCACTAAGGCAGGAAGAATGCGTTACTTCATAAAACCGGAAGAGTTTAAGAGAGAAATAAAAGTGTTGCAGGAGGAGGAGAATTCAATTGAATCCAAAGGGCGAGATTACAGCAGGAACTCGACTGCGAGCCAGTCTTGGAGTCTAGATCCATGAGAGAATGAGGGAATAATGCTGGAGATGAGCTGAAATTAGGAAATGATATGCCGATTTTCACGTTCTAATGAATTGAAGGTGAGAGGCCATGTAAGCAACCTGTTTAATTATCACTCAAGATCAACGCATTTTAAGAGTGATGCCAATATCATGCAGAAATGTCCTCATTAATTTGACTTAATTGCTTCACGAGCAGCGCATGTCAAATGTTTAATGGGGAATGTCATGGGGATATGACAGTCACAAACATAAGGCCCATTCACACCACAAAACTGCTTTTGAGAAGTGTTTAAAAAAATTGTCAGCTGCAAAGTGTAAAAAAACCAAATAAATCAAGCACATTCCAATAATTAACTTGGGTTGTATGGAACATATACAATACTCACCAAAAGTCTGGAAACATCATGATTTTTTAAATGATTCTATTAGCTCACCAAGGCTGCATAAATTTGATTAAAAATACAGTAAAAACAGTAATATTGTGAAATATTATTAAAAATGAAAAACAGCTGTTTTCTATGTGAATATGTGTTAAACTGTAATGTATTTTCAGCATCATTGCTCCAGTCTTCAGTGTCACACGATCTTCAGAAATCATTCTGATATGCTGATTTGCATATGATTTGCAGACGCGTTCACATTTACTGCTGTCTGGCAAAATAGTATTTGTATTATCAACAACAGACATTGGACCTTTTGCGAAATCTGTGTAGGGAAATCTTTCACCCTCGTGTGAAATTTGTGATTGTGGGCAAAATCCAGTCAAACGATGGTAAATATGATCACATTTATACACAATGAGAATGAATAAACAAATAAAAACGAATGCTATAAATAATTGCCTTATATTATTCTGTATAATTTTATTATGGAAGCTTGTTTCCTCCACAGGATAAACATGTAAGAATGGCAATTTGTGACTTTTTAAGCTAACAGTTGAAACTTTAGTTTTTTCTTCAAGCAATAAAAAGAGTTTATATCTCACAATTCTGCCTAGTTTTCTCCGAACTGCAATATATAAACTCAGAGTTGTCAATAGAAAATTCAGAACGTTTCAGAATTACAAGGAAAGACCCTGAATTGTGTGTTTACCTTTTAAAAAAAAAAGTTAATTCCTTTGTGGAAACAGGCTTCTAAACCTGTCTTCTGTTAGCTGCAGGTTAACAATCTTAAAGTTAGGCTCACCTTCCTCCTTTGTCTTGGCTTCTTTCATATTCTCCTTTGCTTTCAGTGCTTCGTCGGTTTTAGCTGTAATAAGAAAAAAGCACAATGCAATATTAGTAATAAGTTATAAACAGCCCACTTAATATTCGATTAAGAAGTCTTTTATGCTTTAATGTCTCTCTGCATATGTACACTTCTCCCAGTTTGCACATCTTAAGCACATACTTATCAAATACTTTTTCAGCGTGCTAATTAAAAGCCTGAGAGAAATCCTTACGCGGTGGAAACAGTTTGTGTACAAGTCTTATGGCAATTCATTTAGTCTGTTGACTCGCTTCTCTCCTGCCCTCCAAATAATGAAGACGTTAGCCGAGATGAAGACATATAGTGAGCAGTGAAGGGGGACTATCAATACAGCCTGTAAATTAATTATACCTCTGTTCCCGCACGTAATTTATTCTAAAGCGTTCGTGTCTCCCAGGAGCAATTTGCCTTTATTGCTGTTCCACTCGCTGATGAGAGGAGTCATGCAAAATTGAGTCCCTCATAACATTACCTTCTACGAGTTTCAACTTTCAAGTGAAAGGAGAGGAGAGGGTAATCACAGTCATTAAGAAAAGCAAATTGTACAGTTCAGTCCAAATTCAAGTGGATAATATGATTGTTTGAGTGGACATTAGAAAAAAGGCGTCACAAACATAAGGCCCATTCACACCACAAAACTGCTTTTGAGAAGTGTTTAAAAAAATTGTCAGCTGCAAAGTGTAAAAAAACCAAATAAATCAAGCACATTCCAATAATTAACTTGGGTTGTATGGAACATATACAATACTCACCAAAAGTCTGGAAACATCATGATTTTTTAAATGATTCTATTAGCTCACCAAGGCTGCATAAATTTGATTAAAAATACAGTAAAAACAGTAATATTGTGAAATATTATTAAAAATGAAAAACAGCTGTTTTCTATGTGAATATGTGTTAAACTGTAATGTATTTTCAGCATCATTGCTCCAGTCTTCAGTGTCACACGATCTTCAGAAATCATTCTGATATGCTGATTTGCATATGATTTGCAGACGCGTTCACATTTACTGCTGTCTGGCAAAATAGTATTTGTATTATCAACAACAGACATTGGACCTTTTGCGAAATCTGTGTAGGGAAATCTTTCACCCTCGTGTGAAATTTGTGATTGTGGGCAAAATCCAGTCAAACGATGGTAAATATGATCACATTTATACACAATGAGAATGAATAAACAAATAAAAAACGAATGCTATAAATAATTGCCTTATATTATTCTGTATAATTTTATTATGGAAGCTTGTTTCCTCCACAGGATAAACATGTAAGAATGGCAATTTGTGACTTTTTAAGCTAACAGTTGAAACTTTAGTTTTTTCTTCAAGCAATAAAAAGAGTTTATATCTCACAATTCTGCCTAGTTTTCTCCGAACTGCAATATATAAACTCAGAGTTGTCAATAGAAAATTCAGAACGTTTCAGAATTACAAGGAAAGACCCTGAATTGTGTGTTTACCTTTTTTAAAAAAAAGTTAATTCCTTTGTGGAAACAGGCTTCTAAACCTGTCTTCTGTTAGCTGCAGGTTAACAATCTTAAAGTTAGGCTCACCTTCCTCCTTTGTCTTGGCTTCTTTCATATTCTCCTTTGCTTTCAGTGCTTCGTCGGTTTTAGCTGTAATAAGAAAAAAGCACAATGCAATATTAGTAATAAGTTATAAACAGCCCACTTAATATTCGATTAAGAAGTCTTTTATGCTTTAATGTCTCTCTGCATATGTACACTTCTCCCAGTTTGCACATCTTAAGCACATACTTATCAAATACTTTTTCAGCGTGCTAATTAAAAGCCTGAGAGAAATCCTTACGCGGTGGAAACAGTTTGTGTACAAGTCTTATGGCAATTCATTTAGTCTGTTGACTCGCTTCTCTCCTGCCCTCCAAATAATGAAGACGTTAGCCGAGATGAAGACATATAGTGAGCAGTGAAGGGGGACTATCAATACAGCCTGTAAATTAATTACACCTCTGTTCCCGCACGTAATTTATTCTAAAGCGTTCGTGTCTCCCAGGAGCAATTTGCCTTTATTGCTGTTCCACTCGCTGATGAGAGGAGTCATGCAAAATTGAGTCCCTCATAACATTACCTTCTACGAGTTTCAACTTTCAAGTGAAAGGAGAGGAGAGGGTAATCACAGTCATTAAGAAAAGCAAATTGTACAGTTCAGTCCAAATTCAAGTGGATAATATGATTGTTTGAGTGGACATTAGAAAAAAGGCACGATGTGGTTGGCACGCTAAAACCGAACAACCTTCAGTTTCTGTCTACCAATGCTCCACAAGTCTTTTAACCAGCGTATTTAACTCTTCTCGAGCTCAGTTTGTCTCTCCGCTTATCTCCTTAGAGCCAAACCCTCTCATTGCCATCAGTGTGCCTTGGTGCCACTGATTCTACAAGACTCTGTAACTCTACTGGACGGATGGAAACCAAATTGTACATTTCTTCATTTGGTGTTTTGATGATGGTGGTGGAGAATGCTTTCATATTGGCCCACAAACTTCCATTGGTGTGTAAATGCACTGAATTCTGGTGACTGTGAAGGACATGCACATGATTTTCATCCTCATCAAGCCATTCAGTCAATATTGTTGGAATCACTTTCAGAACTTTTTTTCCCTTTTTTTCCCCTCGTGTGAAATTTGTGATTGTGGGCAAAATCCAGTCAAACGATGGTAAATATGATCACATTTATACACAATGAGAATGAATAAACAAATAAAAAACGAATGCTATAAATAATTGCCTTATATTATTCTGTATAATTTTATTATGGAAGCTTGTTTCCTCCACAGGATAAACATGTAAGAATGGCAATTTGTGACTTTTTAAGCTAACAGTTGAAACTTTAGTTTTTTCTTCAAGCAATAAAAAGAGTTTATATCTCACAATTCTGCCTAGTTTTCTCCGAACTGCAATATATAAACTCAGAGTTGTCAATAGAAAATTCAGAACGTTTCAGAATTACAAGGAAAGACCCTGAATTGTGTGTTTACCTTTTAAAAAAAAAAAGTTAATTCCTTTGTGGAAACAGGCTTCTAAACCTGTCTTCTGTTAGCTGCAGGTTAACAATCTTAAAGTTAGGCTCACCTTCCTCCTTTGTCTTGGCTTCTTTCATATTCTCCTTTGCTTTCAGTGCTTCGTCGGTTTTAGCTGTAATAAGAAAAAAGCACAATGCAATATTAGTAATAAGTTATAAACAGCCCACTTAATATTCGATTAAGAAGTCTTTTATGCTTTAATGTCTCTCTGCATATGTACACTTCTCCCAGTTTGCACATCTTAAGCACATACTTATCAAATACTTTTTCAGCGTGCTAATTAAAAGCCTGAGAGAAATCCTTACGCGGTGGAAACAGTTTGTGTACAAGTCTTATGGCAATTCATTTAGTCTGTTGACTCGCTTCTCTCCTGCCCTCCAAATAATGAAGACGTTAGCCGAGATGAAGACATATAGTGAGCAGTGAAGGGGGACTATCAATACAGCCTGTAAATTAATTACACCTCTGTTCCCGCACGTAATTTATTCTAAAGCGTTCGTGTCTCCCAGGAGCAATTTGCCTTTATTGCTGTTTCACTCGCTGATGAGAGGAGTCATGCAAAATTGAGTCCCTCATAACATTACCTTCTACGAGTTTCAACTTTCAAGTGAAAGGAGAGGAGAGGGTAATCACGGTCATTAAGAGCAGCAGATTGTACAGTTTGCCGTGTTTAATCCAAATTCAAGTGGATAATGTGATCGTTTGAGTGGACATTAGAAAAAGGCATGATGTGGTCAGCAGGCTGAAATCTAAACCTTCTCATTCGGTCTACCAATTTCATGAGAAATAACAACAACAACCATTTTAACAAATCACTTCAAATGAACTCTCTTTCACAATAGCGCTCCAGAAGTCTTTTCAGCAGGCACATTTTACTCTTCTCCAAACTCTCTCTGCTCATCAACAAAACATGACCTTTTCAATGGTGTGGTTTGACTCTACACGCCAGTACAAACAGACAGTGAATGGAAATAGTGCTCACTTGACTCTTTCACACTTTGCTCTGAGTGTGAATTTTCCCCTAATACTCCTGTGATGGTATTGCAGTCAGTGTGACTTATTAAAGACATAACTGGGTAAACATTTCAAGGAAAGGCCAACATGCAGTGTCTAACACTTTTGCCCAAAATCTTCCTTAGGTGTTTAATCGGGTTGAATGCACATCATTTTCATACTCATCTAACCATTCAGTAACCCCTGGTGCTCTGTGGATGGGTGCATTATCATCTCATATAGCACTGAACATTGCTATTAGAACAGAAAGGTTTTATTGCAGAAAAAGGTGAACACCCAGAACAATGTTGCATTGATTTGCAGTGACCCTTCTCTCTCAGGCACGGATGCCCACACTTTATACACGTCAATATTTAGTGCCCACACTATATATCCACTCTGTGTTAATATTTCTATAATTTAACAGCTCTCTGAGGTTGGTTAATGGGTCAAGTGGCATGCATGTAAAATATTTATTTTTTCAGTAAATGTTTTACTTTGTTTTCATTTTTTAAATTATTTATATACAAGGCTGCACACAACATGGCCAAAAAAATATAATGCAATTGACATGACATATCATATTGCTGCTGCTGAAGCCAACTTGCAGAGTCTATTAAAATGGGAGATTTCATAATTATAACAAACATTTTTTTATCTTAAATTCTTCATTTTCAAATGTTAAAACCCTCAAGCTTGTATTTTGGCAGAATACTGATGAAATTCTGTAAACTTCTGTCGACAGATATGCTGGAAAATGTGAAGCAAGGTGAACCAAGTGCACCAAAAATGCATAAATGCATAAGAGTTTGTGAAAAGCAGCATTTACTGTGAACCGACGCACTTTGAGATGCTGAAACTTTGCATAAAACCTGCACATGCACAGAGCAGCGCAAAAAAACTTGACTTATTTGATTAAATTACGACCTTTGATTTGATCATTTCTATCTTATTTTGATCAGATGTGCAGCCCCATTGATTGATTAATTGATATTTATATTTATTTAATGACGCTGTTGGAATCACTTTCAGAACTTTTTTGAATTCTTTGAACCAATGAACATTAAATTCCTTGACAGCCAATCAGAATCCACCCCAAAGAGCTTACGCATTTAAAGCTGCTGACGACATCAGTTCAGTGTGTGCTTACAATAAACAGAGCGTTATTATTCACTGGTGTGGATGCCGATATAGTAATCAGCACAATTATCATTCTCGGTGTGAACTGCTTTTAACAGATCCCCAGATTTTCCTTTGTCATCCGTCTGCACATTACTCGCCGAAGCTGATGATGCTTCTTCCCAGCATTAGATAACGCGCCGCCATCCGACTTTCACTTCATCTGCACTTAATTCCAGTGTGGTTGGCAGGATGGATAATGGAGCCTCGGCTGAAATTCAATTGTGATTATATGTGTAATTGCAGCTCGGGGCCCCTAGAGTCATGTAGGCATGCAGGACTATGTTTCATTGAAATGATCACACAGAAACAAATCCATCCGCCTCCTTCATCCAGTGGGCTGATTAGCAGCGATAGCTCGTTAGAATCCGATGCAATAAGGCAAACATGGGAGAGAAATGGCCGGGGCCCATTATCAGTGATTGATGGAGTGCTGGTGCGTTGAACACGGGGGCTCAGAGGGGCCCGCCATTTAGATTGAATCAAGCGCAGCTGCTGCTTTATCAGGTTTATCCGCAACCGTAGAGCCACACGCAGAAGCAGATCTCCTTCACCCGCTTTCTGTCCCTCTTTACACAGCAGCAATTCATTGATGTAACACCGCCGACTGAAGGAGGTTACCGGCTCCCGAAATGACATTAAGCGGACATGTGAGATAGGATATTGAATCAAGCGCCTGTGAAATCCGTCCGGGAGTGTCGAACTGAAGCCACGCTAAAGCAGGACAGATGAGCTGCTGCGGGGTGCGATGCTGTTGATTTCTGCAGGTTTGTTTGGCAAAGTTTGCATTCAAAGGAAGGCGTGCGATTGAGAACTTCAGTGCAGGAAAACGTGGAGTAAACGATACAAACACACTTTAATGTTGTAATAAAATAACACTCAGTTTTCATACTGCTATATGTTCCCTTTTCCACTATTTGTCACTAACAAAACATACATGCACAATTGTGTTCACTATGCACCGGATTATTATATTTATCTATTGTCTATCTATTTATCTATTATTTTCAGCCACCCTGTAAATATGTTTTTACTAGTGCTCTCAAACGATTAATCGCAATTAATCGCATCCAAAATACAAGTTTTTATTTACATACTATATGAGTGTGTACTGTGTTTATTTATCATGCATATATAAATACAAACAGATGCATGTATATATTTAAGAAAAATATGCTGTTTATATATAAAATATATTTATATATAAAACAAAATATAATAATATAAATGTATATACATGTAAATATTTTCAAAATATATACTGTATGTGTGTGCATTTATATATATATATATATATACATAATAAATAAACACAGCACACATACATATAGTATGTAAACAAAAACTTTTATTTTGGATGCGATTAATCGGTTGACAGCACTAGTTATTACAGATTTTTCTAAAATATTTTCACAGGAAAGGCTGTAAAATGACAATCTAAAAAGAAAAATATCAGTTATTCCTACCATTGTTGTATTTCAGAAGGACAAACACAACATCACAAAAGTAGAAATCACCATAATTTTAAAACGGCAAAATAAACGGTACTTTTCAAAAATCTGAGTACACCTGCTCGCTTTTCAGTGTATTTACAGTACGCTTAAATTGTAGCAGTTTGTCTTGCCTGATTTTCTTTTGTCTTTCCTGATCCTTTGATTAAATGTATTTATTTAAATTTAGTCAGTACTGAAATAATCACATCACGACTAAAACTTATAATACATTTTTGGTAGTGAAGTGATTGCTTCAGCAGTGACTGTTCGATAAAGTCACGTTTTATGGTCCAAAAAATAATAATAAAAAAAATGTGCCAGCACATGCCTGGCAAAGTGTCTATTTAATTGCATAAAATATTGACAGCTCTATAGTTATATACTGGATTTTCCACTTTTTGGAGCACATTTACTGTACTTCAAAATGATGGCATCTAATCATAAATGCATAAATAGATAGAGCCAAAATAAAGCTTTGCCAATAAATAAAAGTGTGGGACAGCATTTTTACTACATTTCTTTTTGAATCATTATTACTTAATTATTTTAATTATTATTTAAAAAATGTTATTATTAAAAAATAAACATTGAGTATCTACATCTTTTTATTTTATTATTATTACCAACTATTATTTAAATCTAATTATTTATTATTTAAAAATTAAACACTGAGTATATACATCGTGCTCTGTCCTTTTCGAGAAATAAAACAGATCTTATACTAAATACTAAAAATAAATAAATTATTTTTAGTTGAAATTTAGGGGTTAAGGTCAAGAACAGCCACTTCATAACAGAAAGTACTCATTTGATTTTGTATATATTTGGCTTTTTATTATTTCAAGTAATGATTTGGGTTTAAGTGGATCATAACATCTTTATGAAATATCTAATACATGAATATTTAATTGATTTTTTTAAATCATTATTTTTATTGGGGTACCACAAATTCTGCACAATGGTCCCACATACACATCAAGAAATCATACAGCAAAGGAACGATACAGTATCACACACAACGCCGCAGCATGCGTGAGAGGGATTTCACATCGATAAAAGACTAGAATACTCCAAGGACGCACAAGACTCGCATTGTCTCCCTCCTTAAAACAAACCCTTAAACCAAACGATCCCAAACCCGTGCAGAATCCTCATCTGCAGCCTTAGGCCTCTCAATAAAAGCACACAACAGCCGTAATAATCCTCTGTGATTAATTACTCCGGCCGTAATCTCTTACAGCGCTGCAGTGCAGGAGAGAAGGGCACGGAGGAGCAGCAAAAGCACCCGTAGCTGCGTACCTGCGCCTCTCTCCTGAGAAATCTACTCTGCTCAATCCAATCAACACTAATCACCATCTTACAGGATCACTGCTGCACGGTTTCAACTAAATACAGCTGCAATTTAAACTACACAATGAATACTGGTCAGAAACTAGTTAAAAGGGCT